TTTTTCTTTTTTTCTTTTTTTCTTTTTTTCTTTTTTTCTTTTTTTCTTTCTTCACTTCTTCGTTTTTATCTTCTTCTCCTTTGTCAATTTCTTCATTTGCATTTGACCTTCGGGTATCTGCTGATCAATCTACAGATAGAAACCTGCACTCCAGTGGGAGGAAACAACTGCTCGTCATCTGATTACCAGAAAATCCTTCAAGATCTGGTGAACATAACAGCGCAGAGCAGCCAACCAGACCCCCTGCAAGGTGGAGATCTTATGATCGCCGTGGAAAGCTTGAAGAATATTTACAACCATTCCAAGATAGTCAACGTGCAAATCAATAAACAGTACGTGGACACAGCTAGTAACCTGATGACAGTCAATAATGCGAGGACCTGGAAACAAGTACAACAGGTAACTATATTTGCGTGTCAGCGGTTGTAACATGAGTGCTATAATTTGCTAATCTACGTTCTCTTCATCACATATTGATGGGTTTCTTGTGTTTTTGGAGGGAGCTCTTACACCGAAACGCGCACGCTCTTTAATTTCCACCAACAACTCTAACAAAGTCACTGAGCTAAAATATCTAGGAATCCTTGCTTACTTGCCTGTGCTCGACGTGCGATCCTGGTTCCTATCAGTGTATGTATCAGTGAGGCCTTTAAACTATTGTGTTTTTTTGTTGTTGTTGTTGTTGTTGTTTTTGTTTTTTTGTTTTTTTAATTGAGTACAACAATAAAGTCTTAATTGCAAAGACATGCGCGCGCAGTCATGTGCTTCAGCCACTCCGAATATCATGAACGTACAGCAGATTATCTTTTGGTCAAAGAAAATATTTTATCCTAATAAACCAACGAACGTTGGAGGTGAATAATGATCCAACTGAATCAACGTTGTCATTTTTTCAGAAAGAAAATAAGAGTCTGGCGCTGGATATTGTGAGTCTTTTGGAAGGTGTTGGTTTTCGATTGGATGATGCTATTGAGAAAAACATGAGTCGTAAAACTATCTTCATACCATCAGTAAACATCGCCATGAGAATCGACGTACTAAACTCATCGATAAAGGTAACCAACTGACGGTTGACGGTTAACATTGACGCATGCGCATATAAATACTGACAGGTCACGTGATTAATATGAGAATCAAATAGTTCTCGTTTACTAAGTAAAAGATAGAGAATGTTCACGTGCCTCAATTAATCGCTTCTCCCATTCATTTCGTATTTTATTTCCCTTACATCCTCTCATTCTATTGSCATCACCATGGTAGCTTAGAGAAAGAGGAATTCAATTCCAGTTCATGAACACGTCTGTTTCCATTCCTGGTGAGCTGTTCTTGAATGACGTCACAACCAAGGCTGTAACAGTCATCTTGCCGACCCTTAGTCACGTGTTAACTGTAGGGCGTCAACCCGAAGAGAAACTGCTGACCAATGTGACAGAAGACCAGGAAAGCAATAGATATGGAACAACAGTGGTGTCTAGCACTGTTTTACCTAAAAGAAAAGTTCTAAAAGCACCGATCAAAATTCAACTAAAAAATATCAAGGTTAGTAATAAATCAATTTTTTTTCAATTTTTTTTCATTCGACTGCCAAACGAAGCTTGAAATCGAACTTTGCACCACACAGCAACCCCCTCCCCCTACCCTACAAAACAATTACACATGTCGACTTTATTGTCATATCCTGAACTTCATCAGGCTTTAAGCAAACTCACGGCTTATCCAGCTCAGGTTTTGGCCTGAACTCACAGCTCGAATTATAAAAATTATTCATGGTAAAAAAAACTCTCAAATTAAGGGAGAGACCCAACAAACTCGACTAAAAATGTGACGCCAAAGTCCAAGAATCGAGCACGAAACCCCAAGAAGTAAGGTCTGATAGCCTGCTGATTGTAAACTGTTTATTAATTAAGTTCCCAAACAGCTCCAAAGTTACTTGTGTCTCGTGGAGTCTGGGAAGCTCTCAACGTACATGGTCAAAAGAGGGTTGTCAGCTGGTCGAAAATGAGTCTGACATGGAGATGACTACCTGTATCTGTAATCACATGACTCTGTTTGCCGCTTTTATGGATCCTTACGGAAAAGACGTGAGTACGCAATGGATTATGGATGCGATAGCCTGCTTCGTAAGGAAGTCTACAGTTATAATCCAACGATGAAAAAGGTCCGAAGCTGGATCTCTGCGCTGTCTAACATCTGAATAGACCTCCTCGGCTTGGGCGTAATGTTTTACTTTTTCAAACCACGTGTCATTTCCTTTAGAGAAAGATTCAAAGATTCTTTGTTTTAGTCGTAAGCGGCATCATATGTCTTCTCATGTGCAACCGAGCGCAACTGTTAAAAAAATAAATGATACTCTAGGGAATGACACGTGATCTGACATAGGGAAGCATTACGCCTGAGCGCGCCCGAGCGGAGGAGGTCTATTTGTTTACTTTGCTATCGTATTTCGGTTAGCTCTAGGTCTAAATAGGGAGCACCTTCTAAACTGACTTCTGTCGTTCAAGATACTAACTTTACACTCATCTTTACCTCTAGGTTCCTGATCATCACAGTATAGGGCTCGAAATCATTTCACTGGTCGGATGTTCAATCTCTTTAATTGCTATTATTGCTACGTTTGTCGTCAGTCTTTTCCATTGGCAGAAACTGAAGTCCCCAAGATCAGAGATTCTACTGAACATCTGTTTTGGCATCGCTGCTGTCTGCATACTTGTCTTGGTAGAGAAACATGCACGGAGAGATAAGGTATACTGCACATGTGTAACGTATTTTTGGAGTGCAACCACCTGACCAAAAAATCCCTTGAGATATAAATAACAATGAACTAGCCGCCATCTTGGTTGATCTAACTTAATGAGGAATGCTTCGTATAGTCAACCAAAATGGCGGTTATGCGTAACATGCACCCCAAGAATACGAGCTAGAGTACACAGACGCTGATAAGTCCATGAAAAAATGCCAAGTGATTGGTTTCTAAATATTACCAAACAATAGCTACAAAACATTTTGCAATATTTAGTACTATTTAGTATTATCACGTGTGTATGGTGTATATTTGTGTGTGTTGTTGTTGTTGTTGTTGTTGTTGTTGTTGTTGTTGTTGTTGTTTTCATTCTCAGCGTTCGCAGATCAAGTTCTTAGTGCTTTAAGGCGCGATTACACGGAGCAATTTTCTCTGCAACTTGTCTCGCAACAGCATTGCGACACAAGTTGCATGAGTGTCTAGCTACACAGTGCAACGGAGACGCAATCGTTGTCAAAAGTTTAAACGAATTCTACTTTTCGCAACTATTGCTGCAACTTGTCTGTATATTGTTTTGTTTGGCATAGCATTGCTTGGAATCATTGGAATCATTGGAATCATCGTACTGATTGTTTTAGCTTTTTCTGCCTAGTACCAGGGGTGGAACCAGGATTTTTTCTAGGGGTGCACCATCTAGGATTTTTTTGTTTTAGGAGAGGGGTGCACCCTTTGTTTACAAACAAGATATCTGCTCATCTAGGGGGTTGCTTCCCCTGCACCTCTCCCTTATACCCGCCATGAGTGCCTTGCAAGGGCCCAGCGTTCTCATCAGCTTTAGACTAAATACGAGTTTTAAAAAACGAAATACTTTACCTTGCAGATATCATGTATATTGGTAGCAATATTACTCCACTACTTTCTTCTATCTGTCTTCACGTGGATGCTGTGCGAGGGAGTCTTACTTCGTATGGTATTCTTCAGTGATATCACTGGTTCAGGTCGAAGCAAGATGAGACACTTCTACTGCTTTGGATGGGGTCAGTAAAATTACTACTACAACCTGTCATCTGCATGCCCATCATGTGCTTTCAATAGGCGACTTAAAATATCTTAAAATATTTGAAAAAATCGACGTCAAACTAATCAAGGGTGGACAATTTCTCTTTGGGGTTCTGTTCATTGGAGATTTCATTCAAAAGATCGTCAACAATGTCAACTCATCCACAGAGAAGACAGACTTTGAAGGCACAAAACCCCAAAGTGAAGTTATTTATTTATACTTCCAGTAGAAGTTGCCGTCGTTAATTCTGCAAATACAATTAAATGACATGTGCCCTTCAGCTCACCAACAGATTACTTTCCAGCAAGACCATACAGACCAGAACTGAAACCACATTCAAAAATATTTTTTCTATTGTATGACCTTCCTTATCATTATTGACTTCTGTCCGGTTTTTTCCTTCAGGATTTCCAGTGCTGATTGTAGGCATAAGTGCAGGAGCGACAGGTTTAGATGGTTATGGTGAACCAAATCATCTATGTTGGCTCTCTACTGTTGGTGGTCTTTCGTGGGCTTTTGTAGCACCAGCAATTTGTGTAGTTTTGGTGAGCATCCTTTTCTCATTAGGTCTATCATCATCATCAACATCATTATCCTCAGGTATCATCAACATGTATCATCAYCTTTAGGTCTGGTCATCATCATAATGTTTTATCATCATCATCATGTCTTTTGTAGCGTCAAACATTTTTGCAGTTAGCATTTTCTTCTAATCATTAACATTATCATGGCTGCCGTCACGTGGTGGTGCAAAACCTCTATTAATAGTAACACCAGTACTTTGCTTTGGACATTGTTCCTGGCATATCAATAAAGCAATGATTCCATTCCATCTTTTTTGTTTCAGGTCAATTCTATTATCTTAGTGTCTATCATGAAACGGATGTTCGGGATTCAACAAATCAAAAATAAACGTCGAGCTCAACGTATTGTGTTGGGTGTCAGGGCAATGGTTGTTATTCTTCCCCTTCTTGGCATCACGTGGGTGTTTGGGCTTCTTGCATTCAGCTCCGATACCATAGCATTCAAATACCTTTTCGCAATCTTCAATTCTCTTCAAGGAGTATTAATTTTTGTCTTCCATTGTGTTCTCGATAACAAGGTATGAAGAGGCAAATGTGATTATATTACGTTAGTGTAAAGTGTTTTCTTAAGAAAGCAGCTACCTGGGAACACTATCTTGATATTATATCCTCTGTGCTGGTCTAAGTCAGGGTAAGGCTAATTTACAGCTCGAATTGGAATTTAGAGTATTTGGTTTCACAAAGGGAGAAAATCGGAGACCTTGGATGAAAAACCTTCGAGAAAGAGATCTAACAAACTCTTCTCACAAGCAGTGCCAGGTGGCAAGTCTAGGAATCGAGCCTGAGACACCAGATGTCAAAAGAGGCGAATGCACTAAGCCGCACTCTCGCCACCTTTGATGTCCAATATGTTGCGTTGAAGTTTTTCTATATAATGCAAAGCAATAGAACTTTTTTCTTTGAAAATGAAATATTCTTGCATTGACAAACATGAAACTCCTTTATTAATGTTTTTATGATGAACGCGAGGACTAAGTGAAAATGAATAAATATCTTGTTCATATGGTCATTATGCCATGTACTGTCAGTGAACCTTATTCGCCATAAACCCTAATGTTTTTCACAGGTTCGAGAAGCCATAAACAGCAGTCAAAGAAGAAGGCAATCAATGCCAATGTCAATAACCAGAAGTGAGCAGCCAATATAGTCCTTTTTTTACAAGGGTAGCACTTAATAGCCAGTGGCTAACAAACCTGTGGCCCTCATTCTGTGATCAAATTGGAATTTAGGAGTTGATTTTTGCGGAGGGAGGAAAACCGGAGAACCCGGAAAACCCTTGAAGCACAGGAGAGAGCCAACAAATAACTCTACTCATATACAACACCGAACCCGGCGGGACTCGAACTCGAACCTATAGAAATCCAACCACGTTCGGTGTCCTAGTGTCCTTGCCCACACTGAATAGTACTCTCTCGACTGACTGACCAGCTGACGAGATACTAAATCATGCACTGCTACCTTTTATAGCAGAGGCAGATTCAGGGAGCTGTGTGCTGCGGTGCACCGGACACCCCACCCTCCTAACGCCGTAATTACTCTAATGCTTTTTTGAAGCAGAAGAAACATTTACGCTGCATAATAGATCTCTATATACATTTATTTATTTGAGACACTCCTAACAAATTCCTGTATAATAATAATAATCAATAGCTATACCATTGTAAATGAGCTAGGGTCATCACCTGGACACCTGCCACTAACCCCCTCTTAGGTCTACAGTCCTATCGATTGAATCAGTATTTTCATACTTAGTTCGCCCTATTGGAAAGGAAGACAAGCCACACGAAAGGCATCCCTCTCCCCCAGCCGTTAGACTCTTCTCTTTACGTGAGTAAAACAGCATGCCAATCAAGAATACTTTGTCACGTGATCTTTCTTGGTCACGTGTGGTCTCAAATYTTTTTTTTTTTTTTTTTTTGCCACAGAACGAGCTGAAAAAGATCTAGACTCGAGTAAGAACTGGGGTGATTTATGGGCTCAACAGGATATAAAACACGCTGTGGAGATGACAAATGGCAAAGATGAACGTGGAAAGACAGAAGAGAATTATCCTCGCACGCTTCGTACGTCAAGCTTGAATTTTGAACTGACAAATAAAGAAATCCAAGGACAAGATGGAAATATTGATCATCCGCAAGTTACGTGATACCATCTAGTCGGTACACATGGCAAGTGGCTATAGCTACTAACTGTAGGATTCAGGACTCCTGCCAATGGTGGAGCCAATAATAGGACTTGAATGCTAACAATGCTCATAAAACGACTTTAAGAAAATGTCGTAAATTATCAGCAATTGCGGGCTTTCGACATTGTTATACTAGCCAATCGAAACCGTTACAGTTGGACTCCACACAGACTGGTAGACGGCCTTCGGAGACAGAAAGGAACGCGGGCTCTAGGAACTCCAGCTTTTTTCAAACCTGAGACATAAAGAATATTTTATGAAAACAAAAATACCTGCTTCCTGCTTTATTCCACACATGCTGGAAATCCTCCTATGCAGATTTATATTTCTCCAAATTGGTGACTTGAAGTGTTATCAGTCATTTTACTTTTTTCTTGGGAATGATAAACTTTAGGCAGCCTGCAGTGAGTAAGAGGGTGGCAATGGGGGTATACCCAATTATCAGTTAATTAAACTTGTTTCTGGGGAAGGATTTAATAATAATAACACGGTTATATTCGCCAATTCGTTACAATTTCTCGACTTGGATCGAGTGAACTTATGACAGAATTGCAAATAAAAGATGAAAATATAAAAGTAAATAGTACTGCAATGAAAAAGCACTTCACTATGAGTACTACTTACTGTAAGTGAGTGCTAAGCGGAAACTTCCCTTTTCTAGAATGTCAATTACACAAATACTCAAGACGGTTGCACGATAGCCGGTTTTAAAAAGGCAATATATAAGCAAGACGCGACTAGCCGTATGAGCTCTAGTAAGTATACAGATTTGAATCAAAGACTAATCTATAATGATGTTCGCACTATAAATGTTAGATTTTATTCAGCATGCTTCGGGATCCGACAGAGGATCTTAGCGGCTGAAGAAATTGAATTTTTGATATATCAATAGCCATTGTTCTCTCGAATAAAATGAAAATAATGTCTTTATGTAAGATCGTCAGGTATCTCAGAACAACTCACCGCTGATAATCACTGATTTCGCCCTGTTTTCATTAGAATGAATCCAGTAATTTTTGACTAATGATTGAGTACTAATTATAAGAAAATCTGGTTTTGGGTTATTCTACAGAGTTATTAAATTTTTAGTCGTTGTTACCGAAGGCAAATATTATAGCGGTAGTATAGCTCTGAGATTACTTGATGAGCTTTAAGATCAACCCATTACAACTGACGAGCGCTTACTCTTCTAGGTATGATCAAAGGACTCTTAATAAATTGTTCTGTCAACGAGTGTAGTTAAAAACGAGGAGTGATGTACGTGTCAGCCAGATGGCAGTTCGCATCATTTTGTCATTCTGTCACATGTTATTTCCTAAGGCAAATATAGATCTTTATCGTTTTGTTTTTAATACATTCGTTTCAACTTCCTAATATTCTATCTCTTATTTTCAATTGCTTTTTAACGTATAAAAACAAGGAGTTATAGCATTTGAGTTCTAAACCAATGGGTGTCCTTTGTGACGCGTAAAGTTTCAGTTGGGCGGTCAACTCAAAGGTCTGGAGTGTCGATAAACAGAGTTACATCACAAGAGGATAAAAGCAAGTCCAGCCTTCATTTCTTATACGATTTTATCTGCAATTAAAACCTAAGTATCTTTTTGTTGGCAAACCTTAGAATGAATCAATCTACTAGTCGAAGCAATGACTATCAGTTGGAGCAATTACACTACAAGCTAGAACAGAGATCAAGCGAGCAAATGATTCTTGAGCCATTTTTTGCTGCACTTATTATGGTACTTGCCGTGTTTGGGAATAGTCTGGTTATCTTAACGTTCTACAAGAATAAAAACCTTCTGACAATACCAAACTTCTTCGTCTTGAACCTTCTCATAACGGACTTGTTAATGGCATTGACAATCTTACCGGTATTTGTTTTGACTCTCGGCAGAGGAAAATGGATGTTTGATGATACCGTTTGCACTGTTCAAGGTTTCTGGAACTTTACGCTTTTCTCAGTGACACTATTCACTTTAACTGCTATCAGTATTAATCGGTTTATTCGCATAGTATATCCTGCACACTACTCTGTTATCTATATATGGAAGAATGTATATGCAATCATAGCTGGGATATGGTTTTTCTGTCTACTTTCAAGTACGAGCCCATTGTGGGGGTTAGGGCGTTACGCTTTTAATCCAAACACAGCTTTATGTACAACTGGTGGAGGAAATGAAATTTTTCGTTTCATCTCCCACGTCGTAATGTTGATCATTATGTTAATCATCGCAATTTGTAACTTCAGAATCGTCAAAGCTGTGAGGAGCCACTCTAACAACATCAGTAGAAACAAAAGTCGAACTAATGGTTGTATTGTCCAAGAACGCCGAGGAGAGGAAATTCATATTTCCAAATCAATATCAATTGTTGTAGGAGTATTTTCATTCTGCTGGATACCAACCTATGTTATGGATTCTTTAGAAGCCCACGATATCATGGTGCCCAGGGTAGCACGTCTGCTTGGGATTTTCACCATCTTAATGGATAGTGTTCTAAACCCGTTTGTTTTTGGGTTGACAAATAAGAAACTACGATTAGCCATCAGGGAGACTTTTAGAGAGACATTTGTCACAAGGATTCAAAGACATAGATATGTTTTCCCTTCAAGACCAGAATTACGTCCTAATGTCATTAATGTTTCACCAATAAACGTCATCTCGGCATGACTTGTGACATGTCTACCAAGAAAACAGTAATGATAATGTTGATGGTCAACTTCTAACGCAATACCGTTTACTAAATACTACATACAGTCAATGTCATTAACGTTGTCCACCGAAAAAAGACATTTACACATTTGCACGTATAGACATTTACACATTTAGACATTTAGACTAAAAGAAATATCACGCGTTTCAATATGTATTCTTTGCCTCGTGTGCGTCATCCTGAACTTTCAATGTAAAATTCAACTCGTGAATCGAAAATCCAGAATACCCGAACATTTAGTGAGAATTTAAGATGGAGAATGGTATTTCAGCGTTTGTTTTATGCCAGAACGTTCGAGGAAACACGTGATGTTTTTTTTGTCTAAATGTCTATAATGTGTAAATGTGTATACACCTACTCGCAAGAACGTTGACATACGAAAATAGAACATTAGTAATTTAGTGGAATACATTAAAAGACAAAAGAAAAAGTTCAGCTTCAGTGATCTTCTTTTGTTTTTTGATATAATTCCTATCCCACTAAATCACTAATGTTCTATTTTCGTATGTCAAGTTCTTGCAAGTTGGTGTATGTCTTTTTTCGGTGGATAACGTTAATGACATTGACTGTATATCCTCATAACTGATTTTCCTTTGGGAACCATCTTTTATCAACATCATAAATCATCGTTTGATAGATGGTATATTTTAAGAGATTTAATAATAGAAAGTTTGATTTTAGAAAAATAAAATAAAATGTCATCTGAAATAATTATCTTGCAGCAGTATCAATAAGAGATTATTACTAATAACAAGTCTTTGAAAAAATTGCAATACCCAGGGTAGTGAAGTTGACCATTTTTTTTTTAAATTCAATCTTAATGCTTTTTGTACAGTCATTATTTCTGGTCCAGAAGAGCCACCATATGGAGCAGATAACGAGATTCAAAAACTTTTGTCAGCCGAGTGAAAGCCAGCAATTCTCACAGTCCTTCAAAAAATAGACACTAGATCATTTAATATAGTCAAGAACACTGTGTGAACTGCTCCACTAATTACAATCTTAGAACTCAAGTACCACAAAATGTGTTTTCAACACTGAACGATATAAAAGTGCTTATAGAAAACAGACTGGCTTTGAAATACTAACTTGGAGTCTAAATTTTAGATTATAGATATTATGTAATATTATATTATTCAAAACGTCATTTAAGAACTCTATAGCTCTTGCAATAAGAGAATAAAATTGATCTGGTTATTTAAGAATTAATAAAAGAGTGTTCCTTAGGTTGCTGTTATCATTTTTGATGGCCGTTTTAATCCCAGTAATTAACATCTCCAGTCAATTCAAACAGATATTAGCACATGCAAGACGTGTTTTTAAGAATGTTTACGGGCATTGTTCGCGCGCAGCCTTTCTACGCATGAGTTTAGAGCGCGCATGCTCACCGTGATGACGTCTTTCGAATGTTTTGATGGGTAAAATATCAAGAAATATTTACTTCTTTACAGCAAAATATCTCGGAAACCAATTCGGTGACCCCGCCCATTTTCTTTGTCTTAAGATCAAGATACTACCAAAATCTACAAAATACATAAATCTAAAAAAATTCTGATTATGCGTGAATGATGGACACCAAATTTACGAAAAAAACTCCACCTGTTAAATCTAACTCTTACCCGCATGCTTTTAATTCAGAAATGTTAAAGAAAGTCATATTTGATGGCCGTGAATTTGTTTCCTGCATTATTTGATCAGTTTCTGATTTTTGGGTTATATTTATACCAAGTTTAAAATAATTCTGACTGCAACTTCATTCGGCCCGTGAACGTCCTTAGCCAGGTTTTTCTTAATAGTTTTCCTGCTAGACAAATTCGAATTAACCGGCCCCCACCCCATAACTTTATAACTGCCAAACCTGTCCCTATAGATCATCTGAACAGATCAGCACTGTGGCAATGAGGCTACAATAAAAGGAAAGGAAAGGAAAAGAAAGGAAAGGAAAGGAAAGGAAAGGAAAGGAAAGGAAAGNGGAAAAGAAAGGAAAGGAAAGGAAAGGAAAGGAAAGGAAAGGAAAGAAAAGAAAAGAAGAAAAGAAAAGGAGATATATGGGGCAACTATTTCAAAAATTGACAGTCATTATTTCTAAGGGGATGGATAACATAGAAAAAAAAACAGATAAAGACTTCAGGCTAAGGTTAGTAATTTTTTTTCTCATATTCTTATACGAAATACGATCCAAAACAATCCATATGCATTTTTTATAAAATTAAAGTACTGAGGTTGGGCTGCCTGTGCCGAAATGCACGCCTTGTTTAGATTAACCACAGGAACCCCATTTCCCTTTTCCCGGGTGCGAAAAGCCTTGTGGGACATATCCTGATAGAAGCCTGGTAAAGAGACTACGAAATCGACACATGTGAGGAAAAGTTGACATAAAAATAGCTGGAAAATGGTTCGTATTTACCTCTGATTTATCTGTTATACGTTTATTAGTGCTCTCTATGGAATACACATTGATGTAGAGTTATTGGTTTCTTCTTTGCAGGCGAAATTCATCGCTCAAATTATCATTCTTGGAGGTCAAGTCATTGGAAGAGCTTTCGCACAGGCTTTGAAACAAGAATTTCGAAGTAAGTTGACTTTAAATTCTGATGCAATACTGACAGAAAAACAATGAAAACTTGGTAAAAAGTAGGATATGGTTCTGTTGTTAGACGGTTTGTTTATTGAGCACGCTTGTAGACATTGTTAGATGTGGTAGCTTTGCAACTATGCTCAGTTATACACATGGTTTCAAGTAAACCCCTGCACATTGTACCTTTTTCAAATTCTCTTTTAATTATCAATTTATAACGTTTGAATAAAAGCATGCAGCTTAATATCAGTATTTTAAAACTACTTGTGAATTTTTCATGTTGCATAACTACCAACCCTTTCAGTCGTCATATGGAGCTTGCACCAGTCCCATTCATTTATTCATTCATTCACTTTAAGGTGGTGATGCAACCCGTCGCGCAGCAGCTAGTTCAGGTGAAGGAGCAAAACGTGCAGCAACCAATAGCATGATGGGAATGACAATACAGGTGAAAAAGATTCACAGCATCCATTGAATATAAATACAAAATGTTACTGTAACTCAAATGGCCAATGGTGGCTTGTTTCTAATGGTTATAACATGTTGTATCAGATTTACTACACAAGCCAGATGAAAGTAATTGTAAATCACAACACAAATGTGATTGTTGTAAGCCACTTCTTCAACATTTGGGTACATCTGTAATTTCATTATGGATTGAAATTTGAAAGATTTAGTTAGGTTATGCTGAAAAAACTAATGTTAATGCAAATGAATAGGATTTTGTATCAGAATTACAAAACTCTTCATGTTTTGACTTTTATTGTGTTTTGTTCATGAATATAATAAACATGTTGAATAAGTTTTGATAAAGGTTTTACATATAATCCGTTATTCATTTACAATAATTAATTTTGATTCAATTACTTTTTCCCCTTTTAGGAAGCAAAACAGATACTCAATGTTCAAGAACTGGACAAGGAAGTAATACAAAAAGTAAGGGAAACAAAGCCTTCAAATTATCCCATTTTTATAGAATAATGATGATTATGATACTTTTTGGTTGACCTTTGTATGGGACCTGGTGTTCTGTTGGTCAGTCCTTCAATTAGCATAGTTTTTTTTTTTTTAATTTATGCTATTGTATAGGTTTGTGTTTCATTTATGTATCATTCGTGTTCATGCTCACTTGGTTGTAAAGTTTATAACATAAAAAATAAAATACTTTTCTTCCACTTTAATTTTTATGTTCATTTATTTTTTCATCAGAATTTTGATCACTTATTTAAAATAAATGACAAGAAAGCTGGTGGCTCATTCTATCTACAGTCAAAGGTAACAGTGTTATATTCATTTTGATCTTTCTTCTTCCTTAAGGAAACCTAGTGAAGCCTTAAACTTATTACTATGAGGTAAAACACCTGTGCTGACCAATAATTATTATCTATGGCCAATGTTTTTCCCTTGTTTGCTCAAACCAAGGAAACCAGTAACGTCAGTGTTACAGTACTTCTATCAGAGTTTTCAAACTCAGGGCTAGTATTTGAATTCTTACTTGATAGACTTCTGGAATAAAATAAAATGAAAGCCTTCTCTAGTTACATGACTTTACAGATGCTGCTTTGAATATGAAAGAAAAATATGAAGTTCAAAGATATTTGAAGAGTTGACTACAACTGCCTTGTTAAGTTCAAGCCCTAAAAATGATAATAATGATGGCTATGATTGACTGAATTGGTTTTACTTGAGGCATTGTAGCATTGATGGAAAAATAATTCATAGAAAATAAGCTGTTTAAGCAATACTCCTTCAATTTTAGCATTTATCTTAAAGACTTAAACTATAGGGGGAATGTACAGTAGGATGATATGCTCATACATTTTCATTGTTTTTATTTAAAGGTGGTACGAGCAAAGGAACGAATAGATGAAGAATTGACGCAGCAGAACTCAAGCAGCAAAAATAAAGAAAGTTCAACAACAGAGAGTTCAGAGAAATCATAGTACATTTTGTAAAGATAATAATTACTATCATTAACCAAACAAACACATAGTTTTCTAAGCAGCTGGTCTCTGCTTGATGGACTTCCAACCATGTGACATGTTGCACCCAGCTGCTTGTCAATGAAAGGAACTTTACATGAGGAGAAAAACTTCACTGAATTTTGAAGAACCTGTTATTATATGTTCCAGTATGGACAACTTTAATGGTCAAACAACATGTAAAAGAATGAAAATGAAGTTTACTACATGCAGAAAAATTTCCCTAAAAATCTGTGAATATGTGTGTGTATATGTATGTACTGTGTGATCATCTTAATCATGTCATCATCATCTTGATTTGTCATCGTAATCATTTTATTCTTTTAAGCATTTGATCACACTAGGTGTGTACAAAGACTTAAATGGTATTAATGTTGAAATGTTTAAGTTGTTTATTATACCTGGAGCAATCCTAAGGTTTCACTATTAATATTTTTGGATTATATTTGGTCAGTTTTCTTACAACATTTTTACCAGTAAATGACTAATTTGAATACATTTCATTGTAAAATGTCTTTCTTGAATTCACTTTTGAGAGCAAATTCATCACAGTAGAGGTTTTGTCAGATCACATCAGCAGCTGTGTTAAGGGGCAAGAACCAGGAATCTGATAGTCTCCTCTGCAGCTGCCATCAGTTTTGGTCCCAGATCCTCATAGGCCCTAGACTAATGACGGCTGTGGAGGAGACTAGGAATCAGAGAAAAGGGGTGAAAAACTTTTGCATAAGAGGAACCTGTAAAGATGAGAATATGTGGACCGCATAGCACTTATGAAATACAAGATATAGAAATATAGATAAGTTATAGTGCTTGGGAACGAGGTTATTCCGGGCGAAAGACCCTTGGAAATAAATTCRGAAAAATTAGTTTCCCAGCAAGGTCGGAAATTAATTTTTCCGAATTTCCGACCTCGCTGGGAAACTAATTTTTCCGAATTTATTACCAAGGGTCTTTCACCCGGAATAACCTTGTTTCCAAGCACTATAACTTATCTATATTTCTATATCTAATAAGAGGAACCTCTATGACTAAACAAATTAAATAAAGGTGGCTGCAACACTTTAGGCCCACCCCTTAAATCCACCAATGAAAACAATGTTATTGTTTTGGCAAAGAAAAGGGGTTCTGTTGCTCTCCCATGTGACATGGCTGTTGGCATGTGATTATGAACATCCTCGATGGTTCTATGTTGAGTTTGCACTCAATAAAATAAGATATCAAGGAATCTGTCCTCTTCTATGATATTGTGTTGTGGTCACTCAAGCAAATTAGGAGAATATCTATTTGTAATCAAAATCTTGGTAATGAACATTATTTTAATTATAATTATTATGGTATTAACATTTGTAAATAATCTAATCTGGTTCAGCAGAATAAACTATGCATATAGTACAGATAGGCTAGCTAGTTGGACTAAAACTCTTGTTATTCCATCTTTGGAGTTGGATCATTGAGCATATTTACGATCTTATTACAGCTATTGTATACATTTATTTCTTATAGCACATTAATACAATTAATCAAAATATGGCATATGTCTGACTAGCCTCATATTCACATGAAAAAACAAAAGCGATTTCACAGGAATCAGAGGCTAGTCAGTCAAGAACAATAGTTATTCAAGTAGATACATCCCAAAAATTGCCGGTTCTAATTTACATATTTTTTAAAGTAAAACCTGTGCAAAAAGTTTCTTTTGTTTGGAACACCAAATTATGACTGTCTGGGTCAATGAAAAAGCTCTATATATGAGGATTCTGTGGAAAATCTGGGACAAAAGAGTGATCTTAGAAGTTACCGTAGTGTAAATAGAAACACTGAGCACGACATTCTTTCTGTGCTACCGCCCTAAAAAACAGTTTTGAAGACGGTTTTTGCTTCAGGATAAGTCTAACTCCATCAGATAATCTGAGAACGTAAGCACAGTACCCAAAGAAGCACACAAACAAATCAAGTAAAACCAAAAAAAAAATCGGTCAAGTTTACGCGCAACAATCAACCAGGACTTTTGGTTCTCCTCTGCTTTGATTTGGTTTTCCACCTCTCGCCGTTCTTCTGTTGTCTTCTCTTCCTCTTTGGCTGGTGGTGAGTTAAACTCTGCTTCATTTATTGCCGCTTCTGACATGAGGATCAAAGATGGCCCTTCTTTCAAGAAGGTCTCCGAAGGCTTATTCGCCTTTTTAGGCTTTATTTCATTATTCTTTGAAGCGCATTGACAAAGAAAAAGAAGTTTGACGATAGCAGGGACTTCTCGAGTAGCGTGAACAACTTTGAGAACTAGTAGTGTAGAAATAAGAGCAAATGCTGCTTCGAGAAAAATTATAGCAAAGATGACTCCAAGAAGAGAGACGTTTCTCGAATTGTGCGGCAACAGATCCGAGAAGAGAAGAAGATAGACACTGAGAGAAAGAAGAAGCGCGAGGAACAAAAGCCTATCCTCTCGCCATTATCAGGTGGGATGATAAAACTGAAGAAGACAAGCAGAGAAAGTATCGCGCTTGGACAGAGAAGATAGAGAATGTAAAAAGTTGGGATTCGTTCCATGCCAAGGTGGAGTTTGACGTGCGCAAAAGGTGTAGAACAGCAATCGCCTCTCTCCTTGATGAGCTGTATCTTGTTCTCTATTATCTTCCATTCTTCGTTGCTCATTTGTCTGGTATCTGTGAAGTTACATTGGACAAAGTATTTTTTTATATTATTTAAAAGTAGGAATTACTTCTATTGACTATGATAATTTGCAGGATATTTTCCTCGTTGGGCGCGGATTCTTCTTTTCGCTATCGAGGCGGCATATCAAAGTCAAACCAAAAGCTCGCATGCATTTTGTTTGCAAGGGTTGCACGAAGAGACGTGGATGGCGCTATCCGTTGGAGACATCCACAGTTATCGAGTTAATAAAGTGAGTGCTGTTATCCAATAAAAGGAATTTATCTACTGGATAAGGATTTGTCAGACGGGATAGCGCTATCCATTCTACATGCAACCGGGCCGAGCACTATGTTTCTTGATGCTCACCATGAGAATAACAGGCTTAAGGGAAGATATAATTATTTATTCATTTATTAAAACTAACGTTCACGCATGCGCAGTGACTGTTGACCAGATAAATATTTTGAGTATTTTTTAACTACGGACACACGGTGCAACATTTCCCGCAATGTTGTATGTAATTGATGTTGCAAGCCATGACACACGACGCGATTTGTTGCATGCAATGTTGCTGAAGTAGAAAACTATCCTACTTTAGCAACATTGCCTGCGATGTTGCGCGCAATGTTGCACCGTGTGTCCGTGCCTTTACACCCGTCCAAACAGTGATATCTGGTCAATATCTGATGTTGCGTGCAATGTTGCACCGTGTGTCCGTGCCTTTACACACGTCTAAACAGTGATATCTGGTCAATATCTGATGTTGCGCGCAATGTTGCACCGTGTGTCCGTGCCTTTACACCCGTCTAAACAGTGATATCCGGTCAATATCGTTATCTACTTACCTTGTGTTTCGGTGTGGCTTTCTTTAATGTGGAAAACAAGAGAAACATAATAAGTAAGTAAAACTGAGGAACTTATTAGCATCACATGGCGGCCATATTGTTGATAGGTACGTTATTATCTGAGGCTCGAAATATCGAAGCAAACGTTAACAATTCCAGCCTATCGAGACTAGTTGTTTTTTATTTTCTCCTTTTTGCGYCAACGTTTCTGTCACGCGTCCATCAAACAGTTCAACCTTTTCGACTCCCCCTTTGCATTATATATAGTTGCATTATGTGACACCTTTAGAAATCTTCTAATTCCCTCGCATGGAATTTGGAATAAACCCATTCAGCTTGGACGTAATCATTCCCATTTCACACTACTACAGTATCATTTCGTTTGTTTAACTTTATATAACATTGGTTATATATAACGTCACATGCTTGAGAAAACGCATTAATATCAATACAACTGAAACAACACGTGGTCCGAAATGGGAAAACATTAAACTGAAGCTGAAAAGATCTATTATGAAAATCACCTTTCATTTTCCGGCTCAAGAATAATTTAGGATATAAAGATGCACCCACATGATGACGTACGTTGCTTGCGAGAGGAAAGACCCTACACCCTTCGCTCACCGCTTCAAACTGATCGCAGCGGGATTGACACATGATCTTCCCCGTAGCAAGCCATGTTGTCGTGTATCGACACCTTTCCCAAGTACATACCTGGTAGCAGTTGGATGTCCAAGAACTTGGTATCGTACGATTCAGATGCAAAATCTATCACGCATTTTTGTTTATCGAAAGGAAAATTCTGGACTTTTATCTGGCATTCACTATCATGAATGGCTAACGACACCCAGACATTGGTGCCATTACTGTAGACAGTCACCCAGCTCTCGTAATGATTGATCGTTTGACGTGAAGGGTTGCTAGCACTGTGAAAAAACGGGGAAAAGACTTCTGTTCTTAATTATTTGTCCATCTAAAATATCTTTCAGCCGTAGTTTCACTCTCATCCCACATCACGTGATTTCGCTTCTCTCAATCAGTGAAATTTGTTGGTAGCTATATATTTCCTTGTTCCAGGTTTCCAGGTTTATCTCAACCCCAAAAAAATTAGCCAATCAGTGCATAAATTTTGTTTATTTTCTATATAATCCCTGCTTCCAGGCTGACAGGTTTCTCTCAGACCGAACAAATCAGCCAATTAGTGAATTTTGTTCGTAGCTAAATATTTCCTAGTTCCAGGTTTTCCAGGTCTTCTCTCAGCCCGAAGAAATTAGCCAATCAGTGGAATTTGTTCCTATACTTGTAGCTATATGTTTCCTAATTCCGGGATTAATTTCCGGCTCGATTATCAACAGCTTTTACCCTATTCTCCCTTGGCAGCCGCGGTTTTAGTCTCGCTCCATACCCCTACGGTGCACTTAAGAGAGAAGTGGACCGTAGGGGAATGAAACGAGCCTAAAACGGCTGCAAGGGAGACTACTTTAACTCGGAATAAATAAAAATAAATAAAACTCGATCTATGCCACGCGGCAATTATTTACCACAGGACTCTCAGCTAACTATATATAATTTAACTATACGAACTAGATACTTTCGCCAAACCTGTTAAGTAGAGTGATATCTGGTACCCAGATCTCATCTTTGCTCATGCGTATTTGGCCGATGCCGTCGTGTTTGGCCTTGTCCCAAGTGAGAAATGGATTGTGCCAGATCTTTCGATACAAGTTAAGAACATAAGTATCAAGACAGAGAGTTTCAAACATTCTTAAAAATTTTTTTTGGATATTTGAAAAAAACTATAGAGATGCGTTCAAGGGTTTCAAAATTTCAAGGGCTTTGTCCTCTTGAAGTTCAAAACGTGTATGGTTCATCAATAAGGTTTGGAAGGTTATTCAGTCAGTTAAAGCGGTTTTGTGCCCGCGCACTTTGTGGGATCAAATCGAACGTTCAACAGTAATTAGACTGGTTTAGCCGATTTATCTTTTACAGCAAATACCTGTTTTATCAACAGTTTCGACGTGACCATATGATTCTTGTTGTCCTGTAAATAAATGACAAAACTGATCAGCCATTCCTGGTTTGACGTCATAACTCAGCTACCTAGAATTTACGGATCTCACGGGTTACATGTAACGTAGCCGCCATGTTGGATGAATTGAACAAAATATTTGGTCTTGGTTTCTTTTAGGTCTTTGTGTCATCCAACATGGCGGCCATGTCTTTCATCATTGTCCTTTTATTCTCATATTGCATAAGCTTACCACGTTGATGAGGCTAATGAGTTTCAACGAGAAAGAGACATTAACAATGGTCAGCGGTAATAAGACTGGACGAACAAATCGATCATAACTGGTCAGTAGCTCTTGTCGAAGTGCATGCTCAGAAGAAGCATTTGGCATTTTCACTGCTGTTGTTTTACATATTTAGAACAAAAGAAAAAAGGGAAGACTGGTATAGCAATAATGATGAATTCTCTACTTTCACATCCCCATAATGCCTTGCGTCTTTGGGGGGTAACCAATCAAAAAACTATCCCAAATTGAAAGGTTTCTTAATTGAATTTATACTATACCTGCTTTTATCTGTACAATACTGATTATCAGTTTATTCCAAGTTATTTTTGCGTGTACAGATCATCAAGGGTTTTGGTCTTACAGAAAATGTATTGACTTACGAAAAAATGTTTAAAATTTACCTTAAACGTCTTCAAGCTTCTATCTTTTTCTGTTTTTTACTTCTTCATTTTATTTTTGGATACCAAACAAGGTATCATCAACATTGTCTGATCAGCCTTCAGCAATATAAGTGGGTTTTTACCCTCTGGTTACCCCCCAAAGACGCAAAGTATTATGGGGATGTGAAAGTAGAGAATTGCTCACAGTTGTCCCAAGTCACAGCTTGTTTAACGGGGTGCAGAATGGTAAAGAGCAATGAGTTAGAAATTGGACCAATTCACCCTGCAGCTGAATTGATAGTTCACATGTCTGGTTTTCAAGAGCAATTTAGAAACTTGTGTTTATCCTACAATATATTAGGGTATTTGGTGGTTTGTTCTTGCTTTTGTAAGTTTTTTGAAAAATACTGTTGCTGTTTTATCACTCTTCCAAGACCATGATTCTTAGCACGGAAATAAGTTTTCATGTGACGTTATATTGAAATAAGGCAATTACAACATGTTATAAATGTTTAACGATGATGATTATTTTGCTGTAATCAATCAAGTATATGAGAGTGCGAGTTGATTGTGAGGTGAATTAATACTGAATTAATCCTGAATTAATTAATTAATTAATATCGATATTTTAATACATTACCATCGCTGAATTGAGATGTCAGTACAAATGCGCATGCACTCAAAACCAACCCTGGAAGAAACATCTGGATTCTGACAACGTAATAATGTCAATCAAAGATGGATCCAGGAATGAAAAGAAAAAATGAAATTAAAAAAGTCAAATGATGAGAATTATTATTGTGTCGGTTATGGTTATAGTTATAATCTAGTGAGAACCAAAAGATCGTTTCAGTCCTTGGGTTTCTTATGTCGTTTTTATTAATAATCCTGAACCCATGCTGAACCTGAGCAATGAAAATAAAAACAATGTAAAGGACAAGGGAATTAATAATGACAAATGTAAACATTGACAAGTTGGTGAGATCGTTTTGTTTTGTTTTGTTTTTGTTGGTTTGTT